CTACTCATTTAGAGGTAATTTTGAACACATGTAGCTCATAGTTAAGCCCAGCCTTCATCCGTTTTCTCATATAGATTGAACCTTTCACACTACTCGGAGTTTGTGCCGGGCTTATTCCTTATCCGCATCATAACCAATCCCCCAGAAACACATATCAATGCGCTATGGGTAAACAAGGTATGTTTACACAAGGATGCATACATAGATGTAATTTGACTTTCGGCTTTAGCTATGGGAACAATTGGTTACAATCAGCAAAAACGTATCGACTCGATCATGTATCTACTCTGTTATCCACAACGACCTCTTGTAAAATCAAAGGTATGCGAATTATGGAATTTTTTATTGCCTTCCTTTACTATCGTATTTCGTTATACGTGTACATGATCAAGATTATTGATGTATTGTTTTATCAACAATCCTAATCATGTACACGTCACGATCCGCGAACTTTCCCGAGTCAAATTCTCAGCCATTTTCCATTAAATTGACTGTGATTGTTATGTTGATAAACAATCTTTCCTCCCTTTGCAAGCTGAAGTTCAATTGTTTTAGACCATCGAGTTAATCAACTTCGAAAAACTTCCCGCGGGTGCTAATGGTATTATTGCTGTTATGTCTTACAGTGGCTATGATATCGAGGATGCTTTAGTACTCAACAAAGCATCTCTGGACAGAGGTAGCTAGCTGCTCGACTTGTATGAGTGCTGTATGCCGCTTTTTTGTTTCTAGGGTATGGAAGATGTCTCGTATACAAACACGCGAAAGGGACTGCGAGAAAATATCCAAATCAAACCTATGACAGGCTGATGGGACCATCTTTAGATCCGCTGACACGCAAGCCAATTTACAAGCATAGGGTAAGTTAAATCTCGATTCTCTGGCCTGAAGAAATTGAGCAACTTTGTCTTTTTTGTATACACTCGCTTTGTGTTCAGGTTTTAGATCAAGAAGGAATAGTTTTTGCTGGCGCCCGTATCTATTCAAAACAAACAATGATCAACAAACACATGCCTGTTATATCTCAAGAAAGTTCTTCACCAACTACTCAGCGTAAGCTCTAGATTTTTGCAAGAAACATACCTGATATCTTCACATGAATTTACTCTACGGTTTTGGATTTTGCAGTAGCTTTAAATCAGTTAAATGACCTCTTAATCTTAGCTGAAGACTTTATGAACTGTTCATAAATGATTGATTTAATCTCTTACAGGAATTATTGTTCCATAGCATCTCCTTTTTTTCAAGTGGTTTACGAAAATTGCAGGAATTTTTTGAGTCACTCCATCACAAAGGTCTTCAAATATTATAGATTTTAAATAAACAGATAAATATAGATTTTTCTGTTTTATTTCTTATTCCAAATTTATATCAAATGGGTATTAAGCCACAGCACCTGGATCCCGTTCAATTGAATACAAAGATGTCTCCATAACCTATAAGAATCCTCTACCGTCATATGCTGAAAGAGTACTTCTAACATATAACGATGAGGAAGCACATCTTATAAAGATTCTCCTCAGGCAAACAAGGTATCGAAAATATTCTAATATGCCGCATAAGTCTTTCAAGAAGCTACTTTATTCCAGGCGCCCCGAATTAGGTGATAAGTTCTCGTCCAGGCATGGGCAAAAGGGGGTTTGCGGCCTGATCGCTGCCCAGGTCTGAAGTTTTAGTGAATATTTTTTAAGTGAGGTTCTACTCAACAATGATTTTCATTTAGGAGGATATGCCTTTCAATGATCTTGGCATGGTGCCGGATATGATTATGAACCCCCATGGTTACCCTTCGCGAATGACAGTGGGAAAGCTCATGGAGCTTTTGAGTAGCAAAAATGCTGTTTTAAGTGGGCGTTATCATTACGGAACTGCTTTCGGAGGCGACCAGGTATGTTCATGTTGTACCCCAGTATGCTCTACGTTATTCAAGATGTCCATTGCAGGTCATCGATGTATGCAACGAGCTAGCCTCGCGTGGATACAACTACCTGGGCAAAGATATGCTAACAAGTGGAATCACTGGCCAACAGCTTTCTGCCTACATCTATTTTGGACCGATATATTACCAGAAATTGAAGCATATGGTGCATGACAAAATGCACGCGAGGGCAAGAGGACCAAGGTGAAATCTTTGAAAACTGTACCTACCGTGGCTGGGAATTAATGAATAGGGTTCGCTTTTATTTTTTGAAACGCTGATGACTCATTGCGTCGCTGAAGTTATGTGATATCTACGAATGTAGACGCAAGTCAGAAATTCAGAAGTACGAACATTATTAGATGTATGCGTAGAGGGAAGTTTATGATGAAATGTTGAAATTGAAGTTGCTTATCACGTAAATTACTTACTTAGTCAGTATCTCCCCTCATGTGTTCATAGATTTTCAAACCAGCATCGACGGCTTGTTGCCGCTGAATTTAGTTCATTCAATGAGTGAAATTGCGTTCAATGAGTGAGAGTCCCTCTCACATGAGATGCGTCTTGCCTTCGTTGTTGGATATGCTTGGATATACTTTGTTTCATGAATTCTTTTTTGAACTGTTACGCTCATTTTTCCTATTTGGATAATCTTGACTTTATCTATCTTGAAGCAAAATGTCCTTATCGCCCTTTGAAATTCTAAGCACTATCTACCATTCAATGCAGTCTGAAGTGGATTGGTCTCAACATCACGCTAAGTAGTTTGAGTAGAATTAGTTGTAGAAATTTAGTACCCTTTGGTGTGGAGAAGTTATCTGTTTTCAGTGCTTCCATAATTGGCCGGCACTGATCGGTCCATAAAATCAAGTATTATGGCCGATCTTGAACTGTTACACAATAAGCGCTGCGCTAAACCAGGCAAAGTCGCATTTCTGCCGGGTTTCAACCATGTTCTAGTAATGGCGCTCTTATCCATAGCGCGGCTTAATTTCTTCGTAAGTAATATGAAGATATTCAGAAATCATTTGTGATGCGCAACACACGCCGACAAAGTGGATACTTCACGTCTTTCCAATTTATTTTTGTATTAAATTTCAAACCAGATCGTTTACTATCCATTATGTATGCTTCAATTTGTTCTCTGCGGAATCTTTCTTGTGTTGATTTGAGGCTACTATACTTGAAACATTGTAAAAATATATAATTTTTGGTTCAAAATGTCTTGGATGGATTCTCACCTGTGACCGCGCATCTCGCCGGCGCACTCGCTGTTTGCTCCTGGAGTTACAGATTTTGAAAGTAATATTTGAAATCACTTAGAAGAGAGCACGTCAGTGCTTGAAGCTTGAATTGCTGCAGAATAGTCTATGTGCTTTTCTCAAATTCGCGCTCGTGTTATGCAGTTGTTCAAGATCGGCCGATTCAAATGGGGTCACTGTTTAACAATTTTGTGCCTGTATCCCATAATTTTACCAAACAGAAGTTATAAGCAACAATGTCCCCTACTGAACGTTAATTTCGACGACTTATTTGCATCCAATCATATGTTGCCAAGGCAATGAATAGGGGATATAAGGTTGTTGTGGCGTGAGTTACTCAGAGAAGTTAGCTATCCTTGATTGAAGGGCTGTGTTGACTCGGCAACCAACAGAAGGACGATCTCGTGAAGGAGGACTTCGTTTGGGTGAAATGGAAAGGGACTGTCTTATTGCTTATGGAGCATCGATGCTGCTTATGGAGCGTTTAATGGTTTCTTCTGACGAGTTCAAGGCAAGCGCTGCTGTACAATATGGCGATGATCTAGCAAAGTTGTCACTATCAAGTACTTTTTTTAGGTTGAAGTCTGTTCAGAATGTGGTCTGATCGGATATCAGGGATGGTGTCAGAACTGTCGATCCAGCAAATCATTGGCGAACATAAAGATACCCTATGCTTGCAAGCTCTTGTTCCAAGAACTACAGTCCATGAATATTGTCCCTAGACTAGATTTGGCTAGATATACGTAATTTTGTCCTGCATTTTAGAGGATTACTGTTGCGATTAATAACTTTTTATTGCTTGTTGAAATCATGTTTGTCTGTTGTTGTTATTTTTTTCTAGCGTGATGTAGGTTTGTACGAGTAAGCTGTTGTTATTTCAGTATTGTTGCTTTTGTGTGAAATCATCGTCTATGAATTTTTACATACCATTATTTGTTTACGATTTTGGAGATTTGTCTGCAGTTTTCTAGCTTTATGGTATTAGCTTTCAACGGTGCGGTGTACTGTTCAATTGAAGAATTGTCATTTACGTTGCACAGGGAAAACTTGGAATAACAATTCGCATTTAGAAGATGCGACGTATGTCTGCAAGCAATCGACACTTTGTAGTGGCGCGTCGATAGACTTCAGTTACGTGAGGGTCGTTTCTAAGGTTAATTTTGTTTAACAAACTAGGCTCTGAGAATGAAGACAGCCAAAGAAAACTGGATGAACGAAATTTACTATGTGTGGGACTTTGTTTGCGGACGCAAAGGCAATCTCAATCTTGAGCTGCGCACTTCTTTAAACAAAAAGCTTTCGGAAAAGTGGCATGTAATGCAAAAATTTGCCTCATAGACGTCTCGAAAATTGCCTCTCTCATCAAGGCTCTTCTTACAAAATTTCTTTGCAAAATTTGGAAAGTAATTTTTCAGCGTCAAGATTCTCACTTTTACTGTTGGCTGACATCAGAGTTTCCTCAGCTACAAAATTCATGCTATCGAATGTTGAACAATGAGACAGAATCAAGAAAGCTTATTAGACAAGCAAAGGCAGAACTTGTGATACGTGATACGTGCACTTATAGAGAGAGGCGAGGGAGGGGGGAGGGAGCAGCGCCACTAATGAGAATTAGGAGATCGGACTTACATATAAACTGTTGGGTTGGATTGGTGAAACACGCGACACATGCTAATTTTTTTTACTTTGAAGTGTTGCAATTCAATTAGTTGTTCTGAAATCCATTATAGTACAGCAGTGTCCCAAAATCAGTAGTTGCCGCAGCCAAGTTCAATGACGGTTGTGACGAGGCATGTTTGCCGATATTGGTCATTTTGTTTTCTGTGGCTGGCGACCAATACCATTATTTACTTACATTAGATACTTAAATGGCCATTCACTTGCCGTGCAGGTTTTAGCATTGTTTTCATCCGATTCTTTCTCTGGCTAGCATCATCCACAATGTTGGTTCTGGAATGCGACGGCGACGCTCCCGAGTCCAGATCCATTTCGTTGCCAACTGAAAATTCAGCTGATCTATCCGTGCAATGAACCGTCAGCCCATCTGTTCGGTGGCCTCCCTCGATGACGTTTTGCTTCGCAAGAGATCCATTTCAGAGTTCTCAGTGTCCATCTGCGGTCTCTCTTCATTATATGAACAGCCCATCGATGATTTGCTTTAGAGAAGTATCTCGCGGGATCGCGAAGACGCGAATTGATCTCTTATCAAGATTGTGAACTCCGACAAGATGTTGGGTGCGTCGGTTGTACTTCAAAAGACGTCTAGCGCTCTTTGGGTTGTTTGGCAAGTCTTCGACGTAGTCACAGTGTCAGGCCACTCTCTGCTGCGTAACATAGCGTAAGGAAAAGGTTGAATCGAACGTGGGCTCGGGGCTCTGGGTCTGTCAGCTATGGTTTGTAACTTCTTCTATTGGCCCCGAAACGGCCCAAGCTGCTCTACGGCTCCTGTAATTTTTCTATCAGATCGTTCTCTATATTAATCGAACGCCGGGATATCCTTCTAGTTCCATTTCTTCTCGCAAAAGACGTTGTTCATGTACTGAGTTTTCTTTAGATTGATTTGCTGTCCTATCCGCTTCCTAATTCGTAGTTCTTTCAACGTTTCCTCTTGAGTAATATTCATCGAGAAGAGAAGATGTCTTCCGCAAAACGAAGTATCGAGGTCTCCCATCATCTCGTATAACTCTCGTTCCAGACCAGTTTATCACCCACTGCAAGGCGGCGCTAGACAGCTTTGGCGACATGGTGTCACCTTGTCGAAACCCTTCGAAACTGGTATGCTAAAAAAGCTGCGCAGTTGTAGAGCAACTTTTGTAGCATTGCCACTGTGCACGTAAATGTCCACCCCGACGAGCGCTGACTTACGGCAATCGTCTCGACGCTGTTAAACACTTTCTCATAGTCGACGAAGTCAAAACGAGAGGTAGGCGATACTCTAGGACAACCTCGATAATCGGGAAAACCATCTGAATGCGATCCACACAGCTGAATCTCTTGCAAAATCCAGCTTGTACTACAGGTGAGCTTTATAATGTTTTTGATATGCGAGTGAATAATTTTCGTGAAGAGTGAAGCCAACTTAACAGGCATGACGGTAGTTTCGAGGTGCTCCCTATCGCCCTTTTTATGAAGGAGAATGTTCGGGAGATGCCTGGTCGGGGATCGGATCCTTTTCTTTTGAAGATAAGACGTTAGGTGCGCCGCAAGTACCCCATGTAGGCAATGTCCTGCAGTTGGTAAGAAGTTGCTCCGAAAAAAACATGGTCCGGTCCCGGAGTCGTGGCTATTGCGGCGCGTACTTCAGTCCGTTGTGATAAGTCTTCAGTGCGGATAACGGAGTTTGACACGAATGTTGATGAGCGGAAGAAATTCAAGTGAAGAAATGTAAAATCTCTTCGTGATCGTTTGAATCTTTTTTTT